GCGGCCATTGAACTACTACTAAAGGCCTTTGCACGTAAAAAAGCGTTAACCGTAACCGTAATTATAGTCCGTAATCGTAGTTTTCAACACGTACAGACAGATGGAGCAACCCAAGTAAAATTCCTAAGGTTACGGACTAAAATTACGTAGGGTCCGTAGGTTATGGACTAAAATTACGGTTACGGTTAATGCTTTTTTACGTGCAAAGGCCTTAACAGACAGAGAGAGAGAGAGAGAGCTATTGGTTAGAGACCCTCTAATAAGAATCTGGACATGCGGTATCCAACGTCTGATTGGTTCGCCATGTTTGTGATTTTCCCGCTGAATTTTGAATTGACGACAATTTTAATCCACTTTCATAGTTTTACAAACGACAGGTTTGATTGATTTGGATTATTTTGATGTGTATCCCTTTGTCGCACAATGGTGCTGCACCCACTTTTTGCAATAAACAGCAAACTCACACTATTATCAGAGAGAAACCTGAGAGCGGCCACGTTTTACTTGACTATTACGTAATAGTTCCAAAAATGAAAATGGGCGTAAAGGGCCTGTGTCCACGATCTAAGAACTGTGTCCAGTACGGGAATTCTGTAACTTGCTATCGAGGTTTTTCGATAACGTTAACTATAGGAACAACCAAAGAAAATCTGCGTATTTTTCAAAGATCGTCCCTGCCATTGGCTATCGCTACTTAACGATACCGAAAATCATCGATTGCAAATTACAGAATTCCCGTACAGGTTCTAGTTCCGAGAAATGTGTAATCAATCAACCTGTACCTTTTATGGAAAAGCTGCAAGTTGATTGGCTACGCGTTTCTTGGAACTAGAACCTGGACGCAGTTCTTGCGAAAACGGTATCAAGTAAAACGCCTCTCTGGTATAATATATCTCTATAATCATTTATCTTTATACTTATATAATACTAATATATCTCTATAATTATATAAGAAATTATAATATCGTATAATTTCTCTCTGGTATAATATAATATAGAGGCCTGTGTGCCAACCACTGTGCACTGAAACAAAATTCAGTAAGCTATGTATTTACAAAGTTACATTTTGACAAGAACAGGCTTAGGATCGTCCTGGAACTCAAGCTTGGGCTACGAGTGCCAGGCCTTATCTCTCGTTATATTTAACATTCATTAATTATTCCCGTTCCTAACCTAACGTTTTTGCTCTCTCTCTCGCGAACGGGGCGCGCATGCGCCGCGCCCTGCGCACGCGAGTCGCGCGCAGCCTCGTCGACGCCAGCGCGACCCGCGGCGAGCCGCGGGACTCGCGCGAGAGTTCTCCCCGTGTTTACCCGTTTTGACGTATGTATCACACGATTCCGCGTAGGACTATGTTATTGCGCGCCGTTCCTCGAGTGTCACCCGCGAGACGTGGCCGCGCCGACTGCGGACGGCCGTTCGGCGATCTCTCGTAGCTTTTCGCGTCCAAGAGGTGGGTCGCGCGCTACGCGAGCCGATCGACGCGGATCTGCTCGCGGCGAGCTCCCGGACGGAGCGGTGTCTCGCCGTCGGCGACGAGCGACTCGATCGGCTTCTCCGTGTCCGTCGCGCCGATGTCCCCCCGTTTCCTTGGACGCCGCGCGCGTCCGGTTCTCCCCGAACCTCGCGATCGCATCGCGACGAAGCGTCGCTACCTCGAGATCGCGCGCGACGCGAAGCGTCGTGAGGCGCGTGTCGCTACGATTTTTTTCCTTTTTCCGTTGCGTATGAACACGTCGCGTTTAGGATACCCGTCGTGGAAATGTTCGGGGCGGAGAGAGACATTTCGTTTCCTCTAGGAAACACAGTAGAGTTGTAGGGAATAATTTCGATCGGATCTGTTCCGAAAATTTCCACGACTATTTTGACGCGCGACTTAGCTCCTCTCGCACTCTTCTTTCTCGCTTGTACGCTCCTGATTTTCCTTCCTACACCCCCCCCAGTTGTGTTTGTCAGTTTTAAAGAACTGCCCTTCTCACTCGCTGCTGATTATTCTAGGTATTTGTAGAAAAAATGGCAGATGTCAGGCTACTCATCCAAGAGGAGGGTCGCGCGGCCAGGAACTTGGTAGCTTTTAACGTGCCCGTTGGTACGAACAACGTGGAGAAGATTACGAAGAAGCCGCCAAGCGTGCCGAGGCAGGCGCAGTCGGGTGCGACGAAGCGATCCATGAAACCAACCACGAGAGTGAGGTCCGCTTCTACGGGTCGCGATAAAAAGTCCGGTGAGACAGCTTTTCCTAACTTAAACGCCTTGCGTTGTTCACACTGTCTAATCAGCTTCTAATCGAGCTCTTGTGGTGTCTATCTAGAATTGCAGGCGCGATACTGGGCGTTTCTATTTGGAAATTTGCAAAGGGCGGTCGACGGTATCTACCAGACGTGCGAGGAGGATGAGAACATCTCGGAGTGCAAGGAAGTTATTTTAGTGCTCGAGAACTATACCCGGGACTTTCACAATTTAATAGAATGGTTCAAAGTCAAGTGGGCCTACGAAAATTCGTCGCCGCCGCTACGACGGACTCCGCTGGCTTGGGAAGTTAGGAAGACGTCGCCCTGCCGGACATGGAATTCAACGGTAATTCCAAAGTCCACCAGTCCCTTGCAGAGGGCGAGCCCGACGGAGTCGGTCTGCAAAAGTCCGGTCGACCAAATCATATGCGAGAGTAAACCGATCGTAATGGACAATAAGGTCAATCATGCTAAAGAAGAGTTTGTCCACAAGTTGCTGAAGGATAATAAAAACAACGTTTGCAAGAATTGTTCTACCGACATTAAAGAGAAACGTAAGAATGGAGTGGACAGGATGGGAAATCAGGCGACGAGTAAGGAGAAGTCCGTGTCGGCGAAAGCAACGAACAAAGTCCCTGTGAAACAGGCAGTGCAGTCGAAAACGAATAGCTTTGTGGATCGCAGGACGTTGAACGACGGTGTGGCGTACGACGCAAAGAATAAAATGGACGTTAGAAATATTTCCAAACAGACCAAGGACTGCTTGCACAGCGGCGTCGTAAAAGTCGATTCTAATTTATCCTCGGAAAAACGGGAGCAAGCGTGCAGGAGCGATAAAAGTGTTCAGCTGGGTTCGTGTACTAATTGTGAGCTCACGCAGAAGGAACTTAATGGCGCAAACGTTAGAGATGGCAAGACAGAGGGGAGAGGTGTGGATAGCAAATTGTCGTGTAATAAAAGTAACGGAATGGGAAAGAATGAGATTAATGCCAAAGTTAAAAAAGATAGTAATAGAAAGTGCGAGAGCACCGTTAATGCCGAAAAGTTGAGTACAAAGGCAGCTATCGTTCAGAGTACTTCGGAAAAGGTAACTCAAGTTAATTGCCAAATAAATAAGCATCCCCACGAAATTAGCGATAAGTCAAGTACTAAAGATATTTCGAGTGCAACATCGAATAACGTAGACAAAAGCCCCGTGGCAATTAGCGCAAACAGGCCCGCCTATGCGACCGTGTCGCAAACGAAAAGATCCAAGGTGCAGTTGTCAGGCCCGTCCGAAACTCCAAAATTCATCCGCAGCAAAACTTGTTTGAGCGATAAAAATTTTCCTGCTTCAAGTAAGAGGAGGCCTGGAACGTCTGTTATTGTGAGAGAACCGTTTCAAACTCCTGAAAACAAGGTATTTCTTCGACGTGATGTACACATTTTGTTAGACTATTATATACGTAAAATTGTGGCTGCACAGAGCAAAGAGATACTTTCGTGGATTTTGTACAGAGAACTCGTGCAAATGTAGAGGAAAGTCCCCTATTATAGCATAGGCTCCTAAAATTAGGGGTTTCTGCTAAATTAATTAAGGCATCATCTGTTTCGCTATGAATTTATTGCCTTTGGAGTGAAATCTGTTTAGTGGAAAATTTATTGTTATATCGTGCAGTCGTTGCGAAAAAATATTTGCGATTAAATTTGGACGTTGAAAACCTATCTCAGATTAGAATATTCCATCTCATAATAGAGGACATTCTTTCCTCTATATATTTTTTGTTTCTTTATCACTACTCTTATTTATGTGAAACTTTTTGCGATTTGTTTATGAACTTAATAATATATATACAGTAGTTCTTCTATCGATTATACAGCTTACATTTTTACTACGAATGTGTAGACTTTCTACGTTGAATGATAATTTAATTGAATATTGTGTGGGTATATTTTTTCAGTTATCAGAACAAAATGCGAAGAGAGATCAAAATAGAGACATGAATGGATCGGTAGAAGTTTTAACCAAACAAACAGCATCTCCAAAGTTGAAAGACGAAAGCGATGGCTGGCAAACAGTAAGGAACCGCTGTAGAAGAGGGAGCACTCATAATTTGAACATGTCTACGCGTTTTCATAAACCAAGCACCGCTCTATCCTTGCCAGCTTTGTCAATAGAGAGCCCGTCGGAGAAGCTAAAGAAGACTAGTTATACTCCCGATGGGAATAAGCAAAAGAAAAAGTGTGTCGTAGGGAAAACTGGTAAAAATATGAATAACGAGGTTGAGAAAGTTAAAGGAGAGTTCATAACGTCTACGATTAAAAGTAATTTCGAGGACACACTTAAAAAGAACACGCTGAATTTGTGCGACACCAATTCGACATCAGTGATCGCAGCTATCTTTAAGAATGACGCAGAATTACTTGAGAAACGTATACAACAGTTTATGACCGCTCAGGCGGAAAGAGAGAGAATTATCCTGGAGGAAGAGAGAAAGACGGAAGAAGCAGATTCTCAAAGATCTCAGCAGCTGTCGGATGAGGAGGCGTCCTTGAAGCGGCAGATTTTGGAATTGGAGTCCACTGAAATTGACGTTGACACTGAAACAGATGAAACGGATGGCGAAATGGTTCTCGAGATGGAAGACGAACCCGCAGTATCGCTCAGTGTCACTGATGACATTAGTTTAGAAGACAGGTACATAAAAGCAGTGCGTATTGTTTAGTGTCTTGATAGAGTTGCCAGGTTTTGTTAACAAAATGAATGTTATAGGTACGAAAATATGCTAGAAGGAATGTCTTGGGCGGAGCGAGTCGACACGCTTGCACAATTGCGTGCATTAGTGGCTCGTCACCCTGGACGTGCTCTAGAACTGCATCAGAAACTTTCATCTCCGTCGCGAAAAAGATCGCTGCCTGAAACGTTAAGGAGATATCAAGCGAAGCAAGCCTGTGCTCAGCACAAACGTCAAAAACTGCTCATGGAGAAGTCGCAACGATTGCGGGAGCTATTGAACAAAGTGGAAGACGTCAAAAGTGCCAAGAGTCAGTTGATAGAAGACAAGAGAATCAGGATGGAAATGAAACTTAAAAGGGCGGAAGAAAATAGGACACAACATTTGTTGGAAATAGTGAGGAAAGCACACGACGAGGATTCCAAGTTGAAGGAAATAGCTTTTATCAATGAACTCGAGGCACAAAATAAGAGGCATGATTTCATGGCGTTATGTCAAGAACAAGAAGAAAGATTACAAGTGTGTATCCATATCTGCTCGAAAAGTATTTTTATTACAAAAATTTTTTAATAAATTCTAATTAAAAATTCAGAATTAAAAAATTGGCTTTGTGTACAATATGTTACTATCGTGCTTCTAACAATTATGGTTTATTATAGGGTATTCAAGAAGAACGTCAACGTCGACAAGAGGAAAAAGCTGCCAAAGAAGCTGCGGCTGAAGAACGTCGAAGGGCTTTGGAAGCGGAGCGGCAGTTGCGAATACAAAAGATGAAGCAGGCACGGCGCGAACGTGAGGAAAGGGTTGGCAAAATGCAGCTCGAGAGAGAAAAAGAACGACAAGTACGTGAATTATTATTGTGCCGGCAAGGTATCTTCATTTTATAGACGGAGTTTTTAAGTTATCAAGTTTAATTTTGTAGGAACTGGCGAGGGAAAAGGCACGAGACCGCGAGGAACGCTTGTCGGCACTTCATGCGGCGCAGCTGGCTAATCAGGAAGAGCTGCAGAAGAAAATAGCGCAAAAGCAGCAAGAATCCGCTAGGCGGCACGTGGAGAACATCGAGCACATTCGGCAACGTGCGGTCGAGTCTTCGATTTTAAGATCGGAGGAAGTGCCACCCACTCTCAAATCGTATCCCGCTCAAAAGCAATGTTCTCTATGTGGCACGATTGTAAGTTTGCCGCACAGTTACGCGACGTGACTTTTAAACGAGATTCGTTACATTCGCGTATTTTACAGATATCGAACGAGGTGCATCTTCTAAGTCACTTGAAAGGGAAGATACATCTTGAGGCAGTACGAAGCGCGCATGATAACCGCGAGCCGTCGCGAGACGAGCTTCAGCGTTTCAATATTGCGCAGATACGGGACGTTCCCGTCACCGTGATCAATAATAATAACGCGAACAACAGCAAGGCTGTGAAAGAGAAGCAGAAGGCGCTGAAACGCCGATGCAGAAAAATTAAGCAACGCATGAGCTCACGCGGCCAAGAATGGGAAGACAGGCAAAAAAGTGAGACCAATCAGAATTTATCCGTCGAATCGACCAATAAAGCCAAATTCCGCCGTAATTTGAAGGAGCTAGATAGATTATATAATAATCATTCCAAATCAGCATGGTCGAACATAGCACTGGCCACGTTGGAGCGCTGCGTAGGGGAAATTGTTCGAGCCTTCTCCAAATCGGTAGGTTCTATAGCGAGACTGACATTTTCTCCTGTGCATTACATCGCATAATTACATTCCGTTTATCCTGTTGCAGTGTCCGCTTGATCAAGATGCTTTTAAATGTTTGAATGGATTTGACACTTTAACAAACTTATTGGACTTGGGTTTAAATACACAAAACGCATCTTACGTTTTACCGAATAAGTAAGTACCGAATAAAGTCAACGGCACGCGATACTATTTTTTTTTTCTACTGGATTACTCACGAGAACCAATAAGGATGCAGAGTTTTAAATCAGGTGACTTAAGCTACATACTGATTGGGTCTCGTAAGCAATCCAGTAGGACAAATAGTATAATGTGTCGTTGGTTTTAGTAGAGGAAAGTTCTCTATTATGAGATAGGATTCTAATATGAGATAGTAGGTTTTCAACGTCAAAATTCAATCACAAATATTTTCTCGCAACGATCACACGATCTAACAATCAATTTCTCACTAAACAGATTTCACTCCAAGGGCAATAAATTCACAGTGAAACAGATGACGCCTTAATTAATTTAGCAGAAACTCCGCTTTCCCATAATAGGGGACTTTCCTCTAATAAATCTTTTAATTGGTGTTATGAGATTTTTCACTCGTATCTGAAATTTTAGGGCAATCACATCTCTGTGCCGAGTTTACAAGGCGGCGATCAGTGAAAACATCGACAGCATAGAAGCTATTTTATTAAGCAACAAAATTCTCGTTATTTTGGATCTACTTTTACAACGTTTAGAGGTAAGTTCCGTGTTCATTTCCATAAGATTCAGCGACCTACACTGGCTAGATACTGAAATTACTGGCGATATATAATTTACTACTTTATTCCGTGTTCATCTTCAGTAATGATTATTAGAGTATTGACCATAATCGCTCTTGTAGTGTACCATAAAGTATACCCATAAATAACAACATATAAATTTACGTAAAAAATTGTTTTGAGCTAATCGTAGTGTTTAATTTTTTTATTCCAATAGTTTACAATGAAAACGTAGACTTATATATTTTTTTAAATATTTTACGGTGCGATATCTTTGCATTCAAGTATAAATATTATCCCGTCGCATCGTTGCTGGAATTATTGAAAATTAATATATTGTTCAATTAAATTCTTTGTTGTGCTCCATTTAAATTCTAGAGGAATATTTTTAAGTACTATTTAAATTTAAATTAGTAACGCATTCGAATTCATCAATACTATCTGTGATTAACTTGACCAACGATTAACCGCGAAATTGCTCAAAGCAAACTAATACAACTCGTATAATTCATTATCCCTATTCTAATCTTTCCGTTCACGTATCGAAAAATTGATGATAAGTCGATCGGTTTTTTCATATTAAAAAGATATTGCAGGGCGTTGCTTGACGAGTTGCCGCCAATTAAGTTAATCGGTATTTTATCGAGGTCGTCCTCAATCTCTACAGATTTAGTCACTCCCCTTGCATTTCTGTAGGAGATTCTCAATTTTAGAATATTCGAATTGTCCACCTTTTGCAAAATGCTGCATTTTGAACGTAACTTCGTATATAAAATTTAAATCTGCATCCTATCCGGCACGTGCTGCCCTCTGTTCAAACATGATCGCAGCGGCAACAGTTCTGGTTGTCTACTCGAAACATCGACGAACTTGGGATTGCGGTTGTAACTCGGGACTTTTTGCAAATTAAATTTCGGAGGTGATTAGACAACGAAATTTCATTCCATATTTAGTTTCCAGGGGACCTGAGAGGCAAGAACGCGCGGTAATCGAAATATGATATCACTTGAAAATGGTTGATAAAAATACTGACAGATTTCTAGTCGTATACATTTTTATCGCGATGTTACGAAGGACGTAAAAATTTTCTTTTAGGTTAGGTATAATTTCGTTCCTAGTTTCCATTCTTCAAAATCCCAGCTCTTTATATTTTCTCAAGAGAGAGAAGGAATTTAACCTCAGAACATTTGTGTGTGTGTGTGTGTGTGTGTGTATACACACGTTATTTACGCGTATTTTACAAACATATATTTTAACGTAAACGGATAAACAGAGCTGAACATTTTTCCAGAGATCGGTTCAAAAAGAAACTATGCAGATAATTTATATACATACAAATTTTATTTTATGTATACGTAATGCGACGTCTTTTTTAAATCCTACATTACTTGTGTAGGGTAAAAGATGCTCCAGTCTTAAAAATTTATTTAATTAAGAATAAAATTCTTTCACCGATTTCGAGCGCTACACAAATTGTTTCACAATTAAAGAAAATCTGCTTGTCTTTACCTAGAAGATGTATGAAATATTACTGATCTTTATCTAACTGTAAATCTTCAACGAGAACAATGACAATTACGATATAATGTTGGAGCGTACGAAACACCTCGCGCGAATACTTGCGTTAAAAAAACCACGCGAGCCATGTGGAACCGAATAAATCAATTCTGTGGAAAAAAGGGACAGATAGCACCGCTTGCCTGTGTTTTCCGTCGATTGTCCAAAAACTTGATAAAGAAGTCTTTGTTCCTTAACGACGCGAGCCAAAGTACACGGTGATATCCGCGCCGAATGATCGTAAACAAGCATAAACGAGCGTCCTCTTCTAAAGCGAGCTAATGTGGTAGATAGGCATGTAGATTACAGCCTGTTTTGTCTCTTTCTCTATCTTCTTTTTTTACTGTATCTTCTTTTTTTTCTTACCACGTTTCGAGGTCGGTAAAGGGACGACCGTAAGGACGGCGTGTCCCTGTCATCCTGTCCATTCTGTCCGACTTGTCAAAATAAGGATTAAGAACCTCGGGGATCCACGATTTCACGTCGCGCGGTTGCCTCTCGGACCCGTTTGAGTGTCGCGGTAGGCACGTATCGCTTTCCCGATAAATAATGGGAATACTTACTAATTTCGAGAGAAGTGCTCGGAGTCTGGAGAAGAAAGCTGTACAAAATGGTCAATCTTGTCTATGGGTGGACGACTATTGGGACTTTCGTTAACAGTGTTGCCCGTCCTCTTTCTAGAAGTGTGATTTGTTTGAAAAGAATTTCGTCGAGTTATATATTTATATAAATAAATCAATTATATACACGTGTGCGTACACGGCTATGTGTAGAGGACAGTCCTCTATTATGATAGGCTTCTAATATGAGATAGCAGGTTCTCAACGTCAGACTTTAATCACGAATCTTTATTTACGACGATTACACGATCCAACAATGAATTCTCCACTAGACAGATTTCACTCCAGGGGCAATAAATTAACGATGAAATCAATAGACGATGCCTATTAATTTATCTCGTATTAGGACTTTGTCTCGTAATATGAGACTTTGCTCTATGTATGTATAATTCCACGGAGCTTCTTTTAAGAAACCAATCTCTAGAAGGACATGCAGCTCTTTGTTCGCCGCTTTACGTTAAAATGCGCAAGGGTTGAGCAGTACGCTAGATTCGCGTTCATTAATTATGGATATACACGATATTACGACGTCTATATGTGGTTTATGGTTGCAGTAGTGTTGCGTTCATCAACGTCATTGTTAAATGTCAACAGAAAGTCTCCCGTACGTAACCAAATTCGCGAACTAAACGACGGTTGCATCGTTGATTGACAACGAAAATCGTCTTCTTTACGTTATCGTTGTTTTTTGCTTTTTTAAAGATTCGCAGTCCGAAATTTAGACCCGGCTATTAAGAGAAAATGTAGATTTAAGTTGTGTAAATTGCGATTTTTTTTAAATATTGGTATTTATCCTTTTTCATCGGACTCGCGGTTCAATTAATTAAAAATATTTGATCACGGCGCTTTGGTGCGCGCGGTTAGCAAAACAATACGGCTCGGTTTAATTCGATTTACACGCGTCTGGCGTTGTCATTTTGTATACGTGTCAATGAAATATCGAGTGCTTTACGCAGTTAATTACAAAACGGCAAATATAATTACCGCGACCGATCGTTCTTTTTTTCCTTCCCTTTCGCGCAAACGCCCGGCGTTTCGCATCCGCGATGTCTTTGTGCGGCGGCGAGAGAACGCGATTAAATCTATCAAAGAAATATAAAAAGTGTATACACACGCATGCTCATTTTCATGCTTTTATGCAGTACGTGTAATAGAACGGTTCCTCTCTCTCTCTCTCTCTCTCTTTTTTCTCTCCTCTCTTTTCCCCGTTATTTACGCGGCCACCGGCGCATCTCTCATCGGCGCGAAGATTCACGCTTTCAACGGGCCGCGCGGTTACGGCAGACTCTCCCAGTACCCCTTTTTCCCCGAGCCGATCGTTTCGCGGCCTCGCCACCGACGGGAATCCGTCGGCGTGATTTCGCCATCGATTCTTCACGCTCCATAGATACGGCACTGGCGCCACCTCCTTCCTGTCCCCTCTTCCAAGGATCCCCCTCCGCAAATGCATTAGCGGCGAGAGAGCTTTTAGTGACGTCACCCACATACAGATACGCACGCACGCACTCACGCACGCGTTGCCACGCATCACGCGCGCTCGCTCACGCGTGTACACGTGCGTGCGCGCACGCGGGGACGGAGCCCCGGGTTGTACGGTGAAAGGAAAGCCCGTACGCGGGGGAATGTGCGTGGGGTACTTCTGTTTCCACTTCCATCAAGCCCTGGTTTCGAGGACCCGTCCTAATCTTTTGTCTCGTCCTCTTCTTTCTCTTTTTCCTTTTCTTCCTCCTCCTCCTCCTCCTTCTCCGCCACCTTCTATCGGTGCTTTTTTCAACAGCCTCTTCGCGCGTTCTAGAATGCAAAATGCGCGCTGCAATTTTCCCGTCGATGATCGACGAGATTTTACGATTTTACGGGATCATCCGATGATGGATGATACTTAGTTGGATACCCAAATCCTTCGTCGGGCGAACGGGGAAATTTATTCGCGAAATTAGCGAGAAACTCGTAGAATGTATCCTCCAGAATTCGTACACGTTTAGCAAAGTGCAGTATACCTCGTTTTACTGTTATCGCAGGGTGCGATGTATGAAATTTAATTTCGTCCTTTTCTGATACACGTAAACTGGAGTTAGACTAAGCGAGCCAGATGTCGATCGGGCACTAATTCTGTACCATTCGTCATCTTCAAATATTTCTTCTTCGTCAAGCGTTTGTGTAAGGAATGACATTTTAATTAAAGACAGCAAAATTTCAAGTACAAATCTGAAGAAGATGGTTTCAAGAAAAATGTTTTATTGAAACGTGAGAAGACAATGTACGGAAGACTTCTTTGTTTATTTCGTTTATCTCTGTTACGATTTATCGATAATAAAAGAGTCCAAGACGTAATTAGATCCTGGAATTGAATATGTATGGCTCGTTAATTATAATTCCGTTACGTATACGAGCGTAGATTATTTTTCATAGAGTACAGTAAGAACCCAAGAAGGACAAAGCATTTTGAGAACTAATCCGCGTAACTAGTATCCTCTAATTGTAGATCATTTACGTTATTTCGTTTAATTAGAAGCCAAAGGTACAAGATAAAATATGTAAATATAACGAAATAGAAGGAAATCTTCAAAGAGAAAGAGACGAAATTAATTGACTTGAAATTAATCATAAGGAATACTTTGTACGATTAATTATCGTTCGATATTCTATTGTTCCTTTGATATCTTTCCGGATGAAAATATGAATTTTTATTCCAACAGGAGTGAGTAAGCTCTGTAATTGGCGTTCTTATCCTACTTAATGATAGGACATACTTTTTGACTGTTCAACGCTTTGACAATGCATTTTTATCCTCGAGAGTAATTAAGAAGGACGAAAGCTCGCTCTGGTGGTCGTTGCTCTTTATCGTGCGTTTTCATTCGAACGTGTACTTTTATCAACAGCTTCGACGATAACATTTGTATTACAATAGTCGCGAGGCACGCGCGCGTTTTTATAATTCCCCCCCCCCCTGCAATAACTAGGAAATTCCGTTCGGCTTAAGCAAATACTCGGGGAACGGATTCACCTGTTTTATATACGGGCATTCCGCCTTTATTGCTCGTCCGTTCGTACAGGCGATCGTGCAGCTCCTCCGTTTATCGTTAGACCGTTCTGTATTATTGGCCAGGCTCGTCGCGATACGGGATTCCCGAGAAAATGGAAGCGAGGGAGTCACCTCGTTACCAAATGGACCGGAAAAAAAGACGTTGTCGTGATGCGCGCGACGGTGATAAAAACTCGGCAAATTAAAAATTCGCCGATAAGCGGGGATTACGAACGCGGGGCCCCTCCCTCGTTATCTTTATAACTGCTTGTATCGCCGTGTTTCCCGATGTAGGTATACGCGCTTTCGTACGGCCGAGGTGCAATCGAAGACGGGATCGCTGCGGCGGCTCGACGTGGATCAGCGTATTCGAAATAGAAAAAAGAAAAGAGAGAGAGAGAGAGAGAGAGCGCACGAATCTCACGTGGGAATACGCGCCTTCTCGTTTCGGGACGTGTCGTTTCGTGCCGTCGATCGCTTCGGCCGACCTGACGAATCGCAGCGCGTCTCGCGAATGAGGAACGGCGGTCTTCTAATCGATCCCAAATGTTTGAGAAAATCGCGATAAGGGATCGCTGCAATTCATCCCGCCGGGGTCGGGACAAACTTTCCGGTCTGCACCATTAGGCAAAGAGACGAATCACTTTAAGGGGTTCGCCAATTCCCCGCGAACGTTTTCCAATCTAGCCCGTCGGCCAAACAATCTGCAGTTTCACGTAAATCGCTAGAAACCGTCCGCGATCGGTTATAGCCCCCCTCCCCCCCCCCCTCCCCTGCCGCTCTAGAATTCATGTATGTATTTATGCGTGACTGCATCCCGGCTGACGGGCACGGGAAAACGATTTCTCGCTCACTACAAACTGTATTCGTTGACCGTAAGATAAAAGGAGGGTCTGAACCACGCGCGTCTACCGAGTCAAATAAATTCAAGCCCGAGCGACGTACACCGATAATGTCAAGGAGACGTTACGATTTGTGATAGACGACAGTCATGTTGTTAAGCGCGAAATATAAATTGCGCTGCCTGAGCCTCAAGTTTACCAGGATTCACATTTTCATAAATCTTCATTCCCGTCGATGAGTTTCAGGCTGTAGTTCACACAGTTTCTCTATCGAAGTCTGCGGTAGTGCCACAGTATATAGTACGCCCACTCCCTGTTGGCCCTTTGATCTTTTCGGTTTCGAGCACGTGGTATTCCGCCATGTTTTTGGCACAAAATTCTGTCACGCTCTCACGCTGATGTCGCACTACCACGTATACAGGGTTGGGAAGTAACTCGTTACTTGTAACGAAGTTACAGTTACTTGTTTTTGGTAACTCTAACTTAACTTCGTTACTTTCTCTCCATCTGTAACTTAACTCGGTCACATTTTTTCGACAACTAGTAACTAATTTAATAATTAATTACATACATTAATAGTTACTTTATACATTTTTTAAATGCCCCCACAGATCGCATTAGGCCTTGCGTTTGCGCACAAACGCCTTTATCGACACTTTACAATTCAAATGCAGATTTGATATTTTTGTTTTCATTGCAAGTTACTTTTTGAGTAACGCGTTACTTTTCAGAATTGGTAACTTGTAACTGTAACTAGTTACATTTTTAGCGAAAAAAACTGTAACTGTAACTAGATACTTTTATAAAGTAACTTTCCCAACCCTGCACAAATACAAGATCCGTCTCGTTGGCTCCACCAAAAAATGGCGGATACGCAGAAAGAATCGACGCCCAACGAAACAAATGACAGAGTGGGCGTATTAGTTAAAATTCAATTTGTATAGATGAGAAAAATGATGGTAAAAATGCAGGTCCAGGCATTAACGAATAAGACTGTACGTACAGTGATGGACAGATTGGTTGCAACGCCCTTTTTAATGACTTTAGGAACGCGCATTTAGATTCCGAGTTACGTTCCGAAACAATTTTTCGGAGGGAAATTTTACTCGACAAATATATCGGAAGCGCTCAAAATAGTTTCGGGTTGGCCACCGAGTAAAATATTCCTCGGAGAAGATTTTCAAACGTAACCCTGAATCAAAATGAGTTCCCAAACTCATTAAAAAAAAGTGTTGCAACAATTCTGTCCAAACGCTAAGCGTGTATCCTATCGTTTTCGTTATCTTTCAACGTGTTTAGTTTTCTTTTCTATCGCGGCCGGTTCGTAACATTATCTCTTCCATCCTAGGCCCGCCCGGCGCAACAATAGTTCTTAGAAGATTACGCGCGCCAATAAACAGGAAACCATCATTTCAACATCTCGTTGAGAAGAAATTTCAATTTATATTCAAATATTTATTACATTGGCATTTATATATTATTAAATGTATATCTAATCAAACTTTCTGCTCTTGGAGAACAATTGTGCAAGAATCGCGAGAAGAGAAAGTATAATAATGAATCTGTAAAGGACGAATGTCAAAGTACTGATCGATCACAGAGTCATAGAATGCACGCTTTTATCGGCGCCTCATAGAATTCTCTAAAATCTTCCTCTCGTCGGCTCGCTCTTTCCGTGACGCTTAGTTTGGAAAGAACTGGATTAACATAAAAGCATCTCCCGTTTATGGTCGCACATACCCCGATATATGCGTTCCTCGAAATTTCAACGTCTCGCTGGCGTCTTGTTTTCGTTCGCCTCGTATCAGAGAGTCGTGGCAGCCCTTTTTTCTTTCTGGATACGGATGGGATTGAATTTGTCAAGGCAGTGGTCAAACCACTTTTTAATGTTTCGTAGGAGATTATTTCGCTACCTCTCATGAGCGGCCGGTTCGTAACATTATCTTTTCCATCCGAGGCCCGCCCGGCGCAACAATAGTTCTTAAAAGATTATGCGCGTCAATATTTTCTGCCTGCGGCGGATCTTTCCGAAATTAATAACGAACGTATGATGCACACGTCTGCAGACATTTCTTCTATACGCGTTGTCAAAAGGGAGCGTGAAGAAGAGATGCTCCGATTTATTATTCTTCAAGGTATAAATGTAACAATGTGTACCCCCCCCCCCCCCGTGATGTCTTCGAAGCGAGATTGTTCAACTCGGCTGAGGGGTTTCGTAAAAAAGAGCGATTCTACCGATCGACTTGTCGCAAACGCAGACGTTTGAGAGATCGAGCGTCGTAAATTCCCGCCAAAAATAAAAGGGAGAACACGCGTTTTCGCCCGATTGCGATCCGAGCGTGATTTTCGACGCGGCTCGCGGTGCGTCGCGATATTCACGGCGCACCAGAAGTGAAATAAAAGTGGACAAACGTGTAGCACACGGCTTTTCTACAGAATTCCTCGAACGGCTTATCGAGACCGGGGCTAAACCGTTTAGGACCCATATTCCTGTCTCCAGAATTCTTATCGAGACCCTTTGACTCGTTACCACTAATTTGGCGTTCTAAATGCGCGTGTACGTGTGCGTGCTGCCCAACACGCCTCGGGTCTAACGGGTCCGTAACAATGACTCAACCTATCAGGAATTCGTTGCGTCTGGCCGATCGGCTGGGATTGGACCGATTGGACGCTAAGTACATAACTAGCCGACCGGTGTAATGGCCTCCTAGTAAAAGCCTCGGTAAAAAATATGCTCAACTTCCTTAGATTCCCTCGGGCACCGGGCGTGAGGGATTTACTGACCTCTCGACCGTTCGACGAGGTCGCACGTTCTTGCAGAAAAACCTGATAATGACTTTCAGCGGCTCTCGTCCGTTTCCTCCACGTTTAATGTACGGAACGTGTGTTCGCATCCGAACGTGTTTCCGTGGGCGAGACTCCTCCCTTTTCTTTAACATTTCGACAAACCTTTCGTCACTTTTTGTCACCTTAACCGCTACGCGTAATTGTACACTGTAATTGTTACAGGTCTAATGGATTCCAGCTCTCACGTTTCTCGCTGTTTCTCAGATACCCTTCCCCCTTTTCGCTCACCGCGATTCTCTCGCGGTGTTGGACAAGAATTCTGTACATACGCAGCTCTCTTTGGTTGCAAATTCTTTTTTTTCGAATTTTAGATACAAATCGGATTCTGAAACGCGCTTGTTCGTTTGTTTACGGTGTTATTTCGATTTTAAGAGTCGACATTACACTTCGCGGAATATACGACGGAAACAATATCGTAGAGAATGTCGGAGATACTTTCCGATTACTTCTATAATTCCGTCTCTTTGTGCATTTAAGATTAGCTCCAGAGCCCGGAATATTTTCAACGGGACTCGAGGATCGATAGGAGTTTCGACGTTCGTTTCGATCAATGCCGAGCGCATAAGCCGCCCTGTCTAAAAATAGGGGATTAATGGGCAGGAAATGGAACTCGCTCCGAAAAATGCGACATTACTTTTTGAAAACTTGGGCGAAACTCCGCTTCGCGGAGGTGTTACATTCGTTCGTTTCTCCTTCGCAGACCCTGACTAGTCTCGACGACCACGCTCAGACTCAGGATGTATCTGCCAATTCAACCGGAAATGGTACAGTAGCCGCCAGCGCGACGCAATTGCTGTGCAGCCTGATCCCCGAAGAGCCCTTTGAGAAAACGGTCTTGCAGACTCGCGTTCAAGATATTGCCGGGTAAGTCCTTCAAACGCTCAATTTATGAGTATAGTCTTAGGCTATGTGATCTCGAAACTTCGATATTGGCGTCGCGTAAGAACCCAATCCTTTTAAATGATAATAACGTTTTTATTAACGTACATATTCGTGAGTCGAGTGGTCGAACCCCTCGCGAGGGGGGTCGCGTTACTTTGTATTGCAGAATGGCCCCCCGAATAACGTTTTTACAATATTTGCGATCTACTTTTCATCCCAATTTCGCAGAAATATCTCCGCAGTCTCGCGATTTCTTCCCGAGGAAAGGGAAACTCGTTTTCGTAATGTTTACCAATTTTTATAATCTGCCTCTCCAGAAAATCTTTGAAGTTAACCGATTCAAAAATATTCGTCAATTGGAAAAAGTTTGCACAGGTCGATGTTATCAACAATATTTATTAAACGTTTATTAGTTATCAATAATTTCTAAAGTATCGTCATCGAAATTGAAATATAAATATTCTGTCCTTTGGCAAAAGGACTGGCTTTAATTAAAATCTTTTTCGTCAGAATAAAGTTTTCATCGCGTTAAATTAAAGCCTGCTTTTTAATTAAAAAATACGGCGTATTCGCGAGACATTATTTAAAGTAATAACACATCGATGGGGCATTCGATGTTAGCACAGACAAATACTAAATACTATAGCGGCGAGCGTGGCGCAGAGAACTGTGCGCAGAGCTCAGGGCCAGTTTCGCAAACGTCGGTCAACTGCTAACCGAAGGTTAATTGATTCTCTGTGTCTTCTTAGATAACAAAATTGAAAAGATAGGAAGTTGACTGAACTCTGGTTAACAATTAACCCACACTGAAAAAAATTTCTGGTTGAATATGGACGAATCAGATAATTCCTTTAGGATTTACCAGAATTCCTTTAGGATTTACCAGAATTTCTGTAGGATTACAGGAATTCTGGTAAATCCTAAAGGAATTATCTGATTCGTCCATATTCAACCAGAAATTTTTTTCAGTGCACGTTTGTGAAATTGGCCCTTGGTAAACAAATGAACGAAAAGATAGTTCAATCCACGGGCACCGCTGGTTTTTTCGGAAACTCTCCGAGGGAAGTGGCAACCACCGAGAGTATTCTGCCGCGCGTACCCCTTTAGGGCTATAGCCCTTCAGGTTTGGAGGTTTCCTTCGGCAAGGTTAGCCGCCTACCGAAGATGAAGTGAAACGAAACGCTCAAAGTACCAGAACGAACTGGATAAAACAGGCTTTAAGCGACACGAGGAGGAGGAGAAGAAGAAGACATACTAAATGTTCATTTGACTATTGCGCGCGATTTACTAGCATTAACTGTGAAATCCCGTGATGTCCTCACAATTCACAAGGACAGGCTTAATGCGTGAACTTAATTTTAATAAACAATTCGTAGCTGTACTTTTCCGAGCGTCAGAAAGACGCCATCGGCACTCGTGTCGACGATAAGTACAGCGGTGTCGCCGGGGTACTCGGGCTATTACAAAATAGCCACAAGATGGCGGGCCATTAAAATTAATCTCGGCCGGGCGACCGAAGTATTATTTCACTGATTAGGATAATCGAGGCATAATTAGCAGCGTTCCACTTCTTTCTGGACGATATGAACGCTCTACGTAATGGCGGGCAATCATCTACAATGAAATCGTAACTTCTGTAACGTGTCTTTACGCGTCCTCCCGTATCTTTTTTTATAGAATTCCCCGATAAAAGGGCTACTGCCGCCGAGGTGGTATTTTTAACAAAAAATCAGCGTATATTATTAAAATGACGCGTTATAAAAACACGAAGAATTCATTAAACAAAAAAAAAAGAAGAGGAAGAACAACGCGAAGAGGTTCAAGCGACGCCACTCGAATTTCGCGTCACTCGAAAATACGAGAAACGCCCCGGGTTTCGTTTCGTCGCGCGAAATCGCCCGCTTTCGCCCACAATGTTTCTCACTCCCCGTTCGCGATCGACGATGGGATCCTCGTCCTTTTCGCCGAAGCTATTAGCGCCCGACGGGTCTTCGCGCGTTTGATATGCACTCGCTCGCGCGAGTGCGCCGGCTCTCGTCCGAGATCCGCATCCTTTTGATCTGGTCGAGTCGCCCGTTGCGCAAACACAGAGGCGCGCGCCGTCCGCGCGGTCGGTACGCCGTGCCTCTTTGAGCGGGGAACGAAAGAATACACGGCGCGCGCTTTCCGTGGACCACCCTGTCTGAAGATATAACCGTGTCGCGCCGATGCCGAACTTAATACGCCGGTCGCGCCAAGTGACGAGACGCAAACTGTGTTTTCGTTGCGTCGCGCGCGATCCGATCTTCGCCGGGGTGACGTTTCGCACCTGGGTCAACTTCCTCCGCGTGGACCCCCCAAAACGCCAGTTAACCCCTTTGCCGGTTCTCTCCCTCCCCCTTCCCTCCCCGCGAGAGAGAGACTCTTTTTGTTTTCCTCGCTCCTGTCTTCCCGGAGAGAGAAAGCCTGTCCGCGTATACACCAGTCTTCTATAAACTACTAGAGCAGTCCTACTACTGGCAGTCCAGTAGCAGAGGAGAGTCCTCTATTATGAGATAGGTTTCTAATATGAGATGTCAGGTTTTCAACGTCCATATGCAATCGCAAATCTCTTTTCGCAACGATTACACGATCTGACAATGAATTTTCCACTAAACAAATTTCACGCCATGGTCGATGAATTCACGGTGGAGTCAACAGATGATGCCCGTGAGTTTAACAGAAACCCCGCTGTCTCTTATTAGGAGCCTATCTCAGGGGGCTTTCCTCTATACAGGGTGTCCCACTTTAACTTGGACAGTAAAATATCTAAAAAGCTAAGCCCAGCGAACAAAAATGTTTCAGACAAAAGTTGTTCATATTAATTAGTACAATAAGATAGTATAATAAACATTAGGGGGTTCCGTTTAAAAAATTGAACGTGACCTTCAAGCAACTATTGAAGGTCAAACCAATGATACCATTTTATGTCCCCATACAACTTTTGCCTAAAACACTTTTATTGTCCAAGTTAAAATGGGACACCCTGTATAGAAATCTGTGGTATACACCCAGAAAAAAGTTTGTTTAATAGAAATCGATCAAGCTTGTTGGAATTTTGACCCCATTAGACTTTTATTTAACTTCAAAGAAATGATTTTTTTTCTGGAAGACTGGAAAGAGAATTTACACCTATCTCTTCGAATCCAGCAAATGCTTTGGTGGAAGTAGATAAAAATTTAGCAGATGCAAAGAAACATGATTTCATTATATCTCATTTGTTCGACCCAGCTAAATCTTTCTTCTGGGTGTGCACAGGCAGAACGGCCTGGCTATTTCGATGTCTCGAGATATCGAGCATTGCCAATCGGCAATATCTAAATGTTCGTGCGCTACGACTGTTCGTTATACAAGAACTGACAATGGTGTTATTGAAATAATATAGAGATTAGTTAAACATATTTTTCCTATTTTTTATTCAAATAATCTCTATATTATTTCAATGACACCATTGCCAGTTCTTGTCTAATCAACAGTCATCGCGCACAAATATTTAGATACGATATGCCTGGATATCTCGAGCATTCAGTATCGAAATGTCCAGGCAGGATGCCTGTCTCCGTACCCTCTCATCTCTCGTCTCTCCGTCGTCGAACGCAGGGACGTTCATTGAGATAATACACGAAGAATATATTTCCCCGGGTGTCTCGGAACATACAGGGAGATGAGCTTGTATTTTAGGCGAGCCGCCGCGCTTTTTAGTTAATTAAATTTAATTGAATTAAATTTTAATGGAAAATACGCGCGACACACTCGGCCACCGCGACGTGCGATACCAGTGCGTGGCGGGCGAGTTCGGATTACATTGATTTTCATTAACACGGAAAGGAATGCCGTTTGCAACGTAAAGATCGCGAACGTCTGAATTTACGCGGTAATTTTACCCGCTGGCGTGCGACAGCGCCGTGCGCCGAAAAGGATTTCCCGGATTCGTTATCCCCCTTCGGGGCGCTTAACAGTCGGGTGAATCTGCGAATTTCATGTTCACCGAACGCGCACTGTCTGGCCTTGTATAATGAATGACGAAGGTGCGATCGGACTTATTGTCGAGCGCCGCGCGCACCGGTAGTGGGATTATTATGATTAATTTCCTGCCGATGTGCGAGAAAGGCCTAGTCACGATTTTTACTCAGCGGCGCGAGCGTTGCTTTTCGCTCGTGTCTTTAAAGCGCGCAGATGTGTAACGGCGATCGATCATTTTGTACGTCGTAATACTTATTTGACGGTCGTTAAGTGCACTCGCCGTCACTCCTTCTCTGAAAAATAATGCGCGATCTTTTTATTTTATTTTTTTATTTTCGTTTGTGCTCGCTCCGAGACCGATTTTTCCTTCCGCGGGCCCCGGCGACGACGCGCACGGCGATCCGGCGCTACCGTTGCCCCGTCACCGCCGGACTCGCAGGAGGACGAGCAATTTTGCAGCGCGCGAAATGAATGATGAACGACGATCAGTTGCACGGGGCACGTTCGATAGCGCCCGGTTGACGGTTCATTCATGCTAGATGATGTCATCAAATAATGATACGGTGGCATTGCAAATGTCGGCGCGTTAATAAGTTACGATAATGCGGTAATGAGTTGCAAAATGCACGAATGTCACGTCCGTTTGCGCGCGTAAACGGCCGAAAAAACGGACACCGCGCGAACTTACTCTCAACAGCCGAAGCCTGGCGTTGTATTTTCTCGCGTGTAAACTTTTAACCACGTCGGCCGAACGTTGTCGTATGAGTTCATTCACAGTTGGCGATCCGCAACGCTGCTCTCGAAAAGTTAATCAGTGGATTATCGCTGAAAACCGCGAACAGTCACTAATTTCCAATTATAAGTGTACTAATGAAAATCGCAGTGGTACACTTATAACCGCAAGTCAGTGGCTTTTAGAGAGTAGCTATTAGCCGAGTCGACTTTTTGGACAGAGGAAATAAAACTCGCGAGTCCTGAACGCAGAATAAACGTAACATTAG